TTCAATGTCAGCTAACTATCGCGGGCCTGACTCGGAATGCTCGAAAACCTTTACAGCCTACGCATATAGTAGAAGTCAGCCTAGACTCCGAGCCACCCGTGACTACTAGTTCAAACCATTTCATCTAATAGGCTCCAAGTCATATGCCGAATCACCGACCTGGGCAGATTCCGTAGGTGGGCAGCAATAACAGTAGATGCAGGAGGTCGAGTTGGCATGTGCTTATAGTACCTTTTGGCCAGGGGGATATAAGTCGTATGCCTCCTCCAAGACTTGCTAATCTGTATCAACGCCATCAGCACACTCCTTTGGTCCTGAACAAAATCACTACTTTCGTTTTTCCAACTACCCAACGATCATTTCTCAAAATGCGTCTGTCTTCTTTCGTTATGTGGGCTTTGGCATCTACTGCTTCTGCCATCGCCATCGGAGAGCCTAGCCCAGTCATCGCGAACCGGGAGGTATCTTCTCCTGGCGCTTCGGAGTTGTACAACGAGCTCAAGAACTTGGCCGTTCGCGACATTGAGGAGACATTCAAACGGGAAGATTCTACTGATTTGGCGTAAGTGCATTTGTTCAATCTACACTCCTCGGACATTTCTAACAATAGAATTTAGCATCATTCCGGACCACCCTTCCGCTTTAGCAGCACGCCAAGGCGGCTGGTTCAACTTTGGCGTCTTCAACTGCAGAAGAGCCAACCCCATCTCTGTCACAGCATACGTCGTTGCGGCCAAGGTTGCTTGGGACCAAGCCACAGGCCTGTGCAAGGTATGGCTCTCGAACAAAGATTTCAAGTACGACATCACTGTTCGTCTCTCCAACAACAACGATCCCAACACCCGCCAAGAGGTCACCGTACGTGCCGCGACTTGCAACTCAGAGTACTCTGTCTCTTTCTTGAGGGATGGTAGCGGATTCAAGCTTGAGGTTGGAGGGCAGTCTAAGCCGGCGCCTTCTCCTCCTGGAACCCGTCGCTCCCTTCCTGCGAACACCTCCGAGAATCCCTTCCACAAGAGGAGACTCATGATCGGAGCTTAAGCATCTGATGGGACCAGCTAGTTCTATACAATTAGACACATGCATCGTCAGCAAGCGACGCAAGGTGGTGAAGCAGCTAGTAGATCGTCACGACTAGACTGCCGCACTCATGAATCATTTGGAAGGCAAGTCAAGCTTGCAGAATGTTGGCACACTGTCTCGTAACCTTTGCTTGACTTAGCACGAAGTAACGCTCCAAATGTTGGTTGTGAGATAGAAATTTTACACATGGTTCTCTATGGGTCGGGTCAGTTCATGAAGTTAGCGGAAGAAGTATCAAACGGAGGAAGGTATGTCCATGTATTTGTGGCAAATCAAAGATGTCGTATGCTTTACAAATGTTCACTATGATCACAATTGCCACAACGAAATGGCCGGGCTACAGGCACTCTGTCTCTTCGCAAATGCTCACAGTAGTAGGAATGACCGAGCTCAACTGTCAAGGCTCGCCGATTCCAAGAACGCCAAGCTCTTCGGCCCTGGTTCAATTTTCAGTATTTACAATGCGCTCTTCAAGCGACTTGATCTTGCATTCATGAACAAAACATCTGACTGAATGACCCATAAATTGGAGTAAAAATGACTCTCGTATGGCATTATAGTTGCCACTCGTTGATCCTGCCATGCTGGTAATGTCAAGTCCTCTTCAAAGAATGCGGTTTTCACAAGTTGCAACTGGTAGAGTAAGCCGTGTGGGGCAACTGCGAACCAACAGCAAACCGCACCACATAGGTACTTGACGTAGTACAGCTTAAGAAGTCCGAAAGCCGAATCGGTATGCTGTTTTGACAGACAGTAATTGGTGGAGTACAACGCGGACTTTTCCTTTGCTTGCTCGCATGTTCCTAGGCTGCGACTATTTAGTCGAATTAAGGCAGCACGTCCACCTGTGTAGTCTCATCAACCTCGTGTTGCACGAGTCCCCTGAATGCGATACCGAGGGCTACTGCTACGTCGCCGCAACCTTGCGGTAATACACAAAAGCACGTAAGACAACCGTACATAACTAGCGTGAGGGGTACCTGCACCCATTAATAACAGCAAGTAGACATTGCACTCAGCTCCCACTCAACGACACCAACCAAGAATACTACGCCTTCGTGAATATGGTGGAAAGCGGGCCACAGACAAGGGCCGGTCTGCATTTTTCTATGCGTGCCTTGCAGCTCGCGGTGGGGGGCAACACGGCAGCATGGCCTCATTCTGGGGAAAAGCCGGTCTGCGAAGTAGGTGTTGCACCATTGGGTCGAGCCGTGCCATCCTAGTGCCTGTAATGGTAAGCAGCGTGCCTATCCTTCGTATTTCAGACTACTCGCCTGACCGTTACGACCGTATGAAGGTAAGGTTACATGGCGCGACGTTGTTCATAGCGTAAGGTAGCGTTAGGTGGACAATTGGGGCGATGCGGCTATGACATGGGCGATCGTCCTTGTATGTATAAATGCTAGAAACAACCACGTCCTTCGAATGTGGAAATAAGTCTCCATCAACAATAACGCTCCATTCTCATATTAAACTTCTTTGGCTGTCTTTCATTCCATTGCAACACTTGTAAATAATTTCAGTCACAATGTACTTTACCGCCGCCGCTATCTTTGCCCTAGCGGCCACGGCTTCCTCTGCCGCCGTCCGCCGCGCTGATTACGGCTCTTGGGACTTCTCTGGATTCGTCTCATTCCCCGCTAGCGGATACCTCTCCTACGGTGTCGACGCAACGTACACGAACAGCAAACTGGCCGCACCGATCGAGGTGACTTGCAGCTACCTCTACAACCCACAGACGAAGACCGAGACCGCATCATGCTCTGACCCGAGCTTCACCTACGATTTTGGTGGCGTCCGTAAGTCAAAACCTAAAGTCTTCTCTACCAGAAAAGGAGGTGGAAGAACTTACTGACAAGTGAGCTGCTAGGCATGGCAAACACCATCTCAACCGTGACCTTGACGCAGACTGTTGACCTGGATGGAAACACCGTCACCGTGACTGGCGCGCAGGAGTTTGATTGGGATTTTAGCAGTGGCTCTGGGCGTTCTGGAACTGCCAAGGGATCAATTGCGGCTCAGACTGCTACCGCTTGAAGCCTGAAGGTTGCGAACGAGACAAGGTGTGCGTCGATACGAGCGGGAGCTTAAGCTGGAAACAAATGTCACAAAAGTGAAGGGTATTCTGATACATACTTTGAACATTTCATCATCTTGACTTAACAAGTCGACACATAATCTCCATGGTTTCGACATGCCATAAAGATACACTGTGGCTTGTGCGCGAAAATTGATCGAAACTTAAGTTCATATTTTAATACCCTTTCATTATGTTGTTGTGCTGGCTGCTTGCGTTATGGCTACTCCGGAACTTGTTATCAACTGATACAGATTAATTCTACGTAGAGTCCTACTACCTTAGCTGATAATCTGCCGAAAAGCAACTTCCCTCTCGCCTAATTTTTCTTGGCATCTGCTGTTAGTGAATGAGTGAGCCTACCACCAAATTACTAACAGCCGAAAACTCTTCACCTCCCCTTGCCGGAGCCCGCATCCGCGATGGCCTCACAGCCGCCGTCGGGCACCGGACTGATGTCGGCCGACCAAGCCGACCCCGAACCAGGCTCCGGGACACCTCCGGAGCCGAACCCCACCTCAAGAGCTAAGCGACGCCGCGACGCCGAGGCACAGCCGACCCGGCCCAGCCTAACGGGAAGCCAGCTTGATGCCACCACCGACGCCCCTACCTCGGCCGAGGGGCCCGCAGCCTCTACCGCATCTGCTCCGAGCGGATCTGCCACAGGGTCCGTCTTGACAGCCCTTGCAGAAGAAGCTAGACAGTACGAGGCACGGAAAGACGTCTTTCTGACCATTGCACGGTCCGTCGACAGCGTTGTCGCCAGCTTTGACGGTTCTAGAAAGCAGATCGCGAAAGAAGCCACTGCCTATGTCATTCAAACCCTCAAGAGACTGATCAATCACGAGACAAGCCCAATAGCGGCCCGGAGTTGGGCGGCTGTCGTCGCACCGATGGCGGGCAACACCACTGCGGCGACCCGGAGCGGCCAGAGCTGCCAGAGCTCTGCCCGCCCGAAGGCCACACTCCCCGCCGAGGATCAGCCGCAGGCGCAGCCGAAGGAGGACCTCCGCATCTTTGCCCGCGTCCCGGAAGAAAGCTTAGCGGCCGCTCGGAAGATCGCACCGTTCGCCGTACGACAGATCGTCTGTAAGGCCGTTGGCCTGGGGCTAGCGGACCTTCCCCACGTCTACCATATCAGCACAGGTTACTCTCTGAAGCCGCGAAACAAGCAAATACAGGAAAGACTACTTGCAAGTAAGGCAAAGCTGGCGGAATGCCTCGGCGCCCACCAGGTCGAGACGCCTATCAAGTGGTACACTTACGTTGTGCCGCGATGCCCAACAAAACTACACAGCATTGGCGGGGACGTCCTGGACCCAGCCACACTCGTTGAAGATGAGGTCTTCGCACAGACAGGACAGAAGCCTGTCCTTGCTCGACCGTCCCGCCTTGGGCCCAACCCAGTCACGAACGAAATATCTTGGCTCATATCATTCACATCAGAGGTCACGCCCTTCAGGCTCTTCAACCAAAGCGGCAGATCTCTGCCCGTCAAGAAACGAAGGACGCTCATCCGACACGACCCCGGCTGCCAGGGCTACCACTCCAACCGGTTCTGCGGACGACGACCGATCTGCAGCAACTGCGGAAGACCTTCCGATTCACACGAAACGGGACCCTGCATGGCCAGGCCCCAATGTGCCAACTGCTGCGGCCCCTTCCAAGCCAGCCACACAGACTGCCCAGCGAGGCCCTCGGCCGTAAACGGCGTCGTCTCCCTTCCCGGTCGAAAGGAGCGGGCTCGGATCCGGAAGGCCGGCCAGAAAGCATCGGACACTCTGTACAAGGCTACTCGATCCGACAGTAGCCAGGAGGCGGCAGGCGTCCCTACCTCCACCAGCCAGAACCAGCAACCCGGCGCCAAGCGCGCGCGCACGAGAACGCCCTCCGCAAGCTCGATCGTTTGCCTCGGTGACGGAAGCACTGACAGCAGCAGCATGGATGAAGACGAGGCGGACGAAGGCGAAGGCGAAGACTCCCCCGACAACACCTCCATCGACCGTCCCGTGCTACCCATGCCAAGCAGGAGCCAACGGGCAGCACAGAAGCCAAACTACAACGTCGCGAATGCCTACACCCACCTCGAACTCGACTCGGAGACGTAAGCCGAGAGCGGCGACCCCACGGATGCTACGCGTTGCGCAGGGCAACGTCGGAAAGATCTCCCCGGCGCACACGGCTTTCCTGCAGCTCTGCTGGGAGGCTCAGATAGATGTGGTCCTCGTCCAGGAACCCTGGACGGGCTGGAAGGACGGAAACGTGCAACTGAACACGCACCCGGGTTTCGACTCTTTCGTCCCGGTCGACTTCTGGGACAGCGAAGGAACCAGACCAAGAGTATTGACCTACACACGCAAAGGGATAGGGATGACGGTGGAGCAGCAGAGGCCTGTCCACACGAGAGACGTACTGTGGCTGGTGGTCGACAAAACGACGACTATCGTCAACGTGTACAGACAACCCCGCGACCCCCACAGCCGCACAACAGGGATACTGCTAGAACTCAAACCCCCGGAGCGAGCTTTGATCGCGGGTGACTTCAACGCGCATCACTACTCTTGGGAGCCCGGGACGAGGAACGGGAACCGGGGAGATGACATCGCAGGCTGGGCAGACGGCCACAATCTCTCTCTTATCAGCGAAGTTGGGGTGGCAACCCAGGATTGCGGACATGTCCTGGACCTGGCTTTCTCTAATATCCCTTTTGCGCACGCGCAGGTCAGCCCACAGCTACACCCGGGAGCTGACCACGAGGCCATCGTGGCCGTCATACCACTACTCAAACGCCCAGTGTCACAGGGAGAGGGCCACCCGCAGCCACGGCCACTGTCAGTGCCCGACTCGGCGCTGGCCTCGGCTGAGAGACCTGATCGAAGGGGGGCTAGCTGCGATGCCCCAATTCTGGGGGATCAACCTACTCCGGAA